AGGAGCTGGTCCAAGAGGCTGGGGAGAGAGAAGTCTGGGTCTCTGCTTAGCCTGCTGCCCCCAAGACCTGACCCTGGATAAGAGGAAACCAGACGGATATGGTTCAGATAGACAGGTTTGAATCTAAAGTTTGTCGTGGTGGTGGATCCCCCTCAACACGTCCCCTGAGCTCCGGCAGATTTGATGACGGCCCTGCAGCCCCTCCAGCTTCCCCTGCAGTCACCTGTGCTGCAACAAGCTGCAGTTGTCATGGCAACCCCGCCTCCAGCAGCGGAGGCAATGCTTTAACGTGCCCGTAGTGCCAGTCCTCACCCACTCTGCAGCTCGTTACGTGTTTTTATAACGCTGCTGTCTTCATGTTCCCCTTGTGCTCAGACCGTCTGAAAACTGGAAATTATTAGAAAAGTTTGAGGATTTCCTCTGGAGGGAAACAGCCAGAAAAACTGAAGTATTTAATCTAAATAAGAAACATTAAAGACATAAAGTGGGTTAAAAGCAGCATCCGGCCCACGAGTGACCAAAACTTCAGCCCTTCATTTGGTTCATTCATCTCTTCAGCCCAAACCCCTGGTTTTCTACTTAATTATCACGAGTTCTTTTAGTTAAACATAACGTTTGGTGTCTACAGAAACGCCAGGATCTTGGCTACATGCTGGTAAAACCCATTTCTATGAAAATCCAAGACAGTTAAAGATAAAACTATTAAAGTGAAAATACAAATGGTTTAAAATTTGGCAAGCCAAAGATGTGAAAATATTATTTATCTAACAGGAGGCACAATGTGTTGTTTTTGATAATGTTTAATATTCACTATTTTTACAGGGTTCTGTACGTTGTATTCATGATTAAATGCATCAAAATAAAGTATTTCAAAGGTAACATGTTTGTAATACTTGATTTATTTACAAAAGGACTTTAATTGCTGGATGTTCGGTCCTTCAGCTGTTGACCTGCAGCAGGACCAGGGGCCACAGTTCCTGCAGGCCAACAGCTGAAGGACCGAACATCCAGCAATTTAAGTCATTATGTAAATAAATCAAGTATTACAAACATGTTACCTTTGAAATACTTTATTTTGCTGCATTTAATCATGAATACAACRTACAGAACCCTGTAACAGTGATATCAAAAACAAAAACAACACATTTTGCCTCCTGTTTAAAATATTTTGAAMTCTCTGACTTGACGAATTTTTAAACCTTTATTTTCACTTTCAGTTTTATCTTTAACTGCTTGTTGTTTTAACTGTCATGGATGTTCATAGAAATGTTTTTACCAGATGTAGCCAAGATTCTGATGTTTCTGTAAATAAAACAGAATAAAACTTTTAATGATACCAAACATGTCTATGTTTCACTAAAGCAACTTATTGTAAATAAAGTAGAAAACTGGGGGTTTGGGCTGAAGAGATGAATGAACCAAMTGAAGGGCTGAACGTTGGTCGGACCACCAGTTGGATGGCCCTGGTTTAAAAACCAAAGACTTTCTGGATTATTCTGCTCTTATATTGCCAGAAGTTTTATTTTATTATTATTTTCTATAAAGAAAAGTGAGATTTCTTTTCAAATTGTTTTCAAGTAAATTTATGTCATGAACTGCAAACATCAGGTTTGTATTTCAGGACTTTAATCTTCATTTCCACAACATCAGAGCTGAAAACTGGGCCCATCCTGCCCCCCTGTGGACGTCAGTGAAACTACAGCAAGAAGAAAAAAAGACTTTAAATTAATTTATTTAAAAAAAAAAAGCATTTCTCCACTGAAGCAGAACAAACATCAATTATTTTCTTACTACTGTTTGGAACGTGTACAATCTGCCGGGTCGCCAGAACAGAGCAAAAATAATCAAGCTAATGGGCTGGAGGGGGGCGGGGATGGGGGGGGTCTGCCAACACCACAACATCAACACAGCCTGGAGGGACAATGAGGAAGAGCAAGGTATGATGGAAACAAATAAAAATAAAAAATRACATTTAATCAAGTGCAGGTTTGGTTCTTTAAAAAAACAAAAGGCAGATATTTTTAGTTTTTTCCTCCRTTCAGTTCACGGTTAAAGACTTCTCTGGTGCCAGATACATGCAACATCTGCAACTACACATGGAGATTTGCTTACACCTGTGCAAGTATTAAAATATGAAGGTATAACAAAGCAGTTTCATATGGATATGTCCGAACAAGGGGAGGGGGGAAGGTTGACCAAAAAACTGTTACAGTTTCACCGAACAGGGAACAAAAAATAAAATAAAACACAAAGAAAGATTTCTAACTCGGTTACCGAAATGTTACCAACCTCACCGCTTTGTACGCTTCCTGTCATTTATTTATTACTGTTCTAAATACATAAAAAATCCTATGCTCCACATGTTGAACAAATACTGCATATCTACGCACAGCTGCAATGAAGGAAGGTCAGTACTGTGAGGCTAGCTGCCAGAATTTTACAAATAGTGGCTCCGAGTTCATCCCTTTGAGTTTTTTCTGTTTTTAACACTAACAATAATAATAATAATAATAATAATAATAATAATAATAATAATAATAACACTAACAATAATAATAATAATAATAATAATAATAATAATAATAATAATAATAAAAAACTGAATGCTCGTCGTACTTGTCGCTCGGTTGGTCGGGGAGGGCGGGGCCCGCCGGAGGCTCCGGTCTGCTCTGAGGTAGGTGCGACAGAACGGGGACGTCCGGTCCGGTCCGAGGTGGGTGGGGGGCCGCTCCCGGTGGGATCAGTTGAGGTCAAAGGTCAGCGTGTTGTTAAGGCTTCCTGTGGTCTTGCTTTAGTCACTCTCTTGTCTCGGCAGCTCACAGGCGACACCTTTTTATTGTTCTCAACTCGGTTTCCAGTTTCTTAAAGGGGTGAAGAAGATTTTTACCTTTAACAGAAAACTGGACACAAACTGAAAGAAAACGTCTCCGTTTGGCACCTCGGGAGTGAGTGGTGTGAGGGGGGGCCAACAAACGACAAGAGAGGGGGGGACGGGTGGTGAGAGGGGTGATGGTGGTGGTTCAGGGGGGCGGGGCTTCTGTGGTGCGTCGCTCCGATTAGTTTGGTTGGTCGTTGGCTGCCGGCGAGTCCGTCTCGGCGGCGGCCGGGGGCGTCTCGTCCTCCGTCTTTATGCGCTTGGCGTCGGGCTGCTCGCTCGCCAGCTGCTCCCCGTTCGGCCGCTTGGTGGGGAGGGAGGCGGAGACCGAGGCGTGGGCCGCCAGCAGGTGGAGGGGGCTCGCCACAGCTGCAGCAGGACGAGACGAGAGAGCGGGGCAAAGAGTYGTTAGTTTAAAAACATGACGACTGAATTAAACCAGAAATTTAAGAGTTCCTGCAGAAAACACAGTGACTGATGCTGAAAGATTTCAGCTGAAAGRTTTTAGCTGAAAGCAGCCGAAGTCTAAATGAAAAGGTTTAATGGCAAACTGCTAACGCAAGTTACATTTAAACAGCTGCAGGAAAACAAAAAACTCAGTAGGAAAATAGCAAAAAATGTGTTTTTAAAAAGGCTGAACAGATCAGTAATTCAAATTTAATTCAATTCAAAAATACTTTATTGATCCAGAGGGAAATTAGGTAATTAGGGCTGCACCAAAAATCATTTACATCAGAATCGTGATTTTTATTTACAAAGATTTAAAAGGTCCCAAAATCGATTTTTATAAATAAAAATTTTTAAAAATCCAGTGTCTGTCAGCCTCCATGATGTAACTACACGGGACGTCCTGACGAACRTGAACGTGCAGAAATCACCGAAACAAAGAGATTCAACTGATATTAAATGCAAAGATTTGAGCTCATTTTGGTTTTTAYTGAATGATTGTGAGTTTGACCTGAGCGAGGTGTGTAAGGTGTGTAAAACGAACATGAAGCACTTTGGAAACACAACAAATGAGCTCATAACAAATGAGCTCACATTTTCAGCTTTGAATTGAATCATGAGAGTAAAAGATTCCCACCCCATCAGTAATGTAGCTAAAAGCAGCAGAAAATAGTAAAAATTAGCCAATAAATAAATAAATAAATAAAGGTAGCTAAAAAGCAGAAAAAAATTWGCAAGAAGCAAGAATATATATACGGACAAAATATATATAAATATACAACAGAATAAAGCTGAAATGAACAAAAGGTTAACAAGCAAAAAATAAAATTAATTAAAAAACTAGTCTGTCTGAAATTGGCGTTTTTTTTGTTTGTGACCTTGAGTTAGAGGTCATCACAGAGAGCATGTTTTGCTGAATTAAGTGGTAAAAAGCTAAAATGTGTATTTAAACATGCAAAATGTGAATTTAGCTGAATAAAGCTGAGTTTAGCAAAAGAACAGCTAAAGAGGCAGAAAAGAAAAAAGGAAAAAGCAGAATGAAACTGAAAAGAGCCTAAAAGGCTTAAATTATCAATAAGAAATTAAAAAGGACAAAAGTTGAAAGGAGTCAATAAATAGATAAAAATACTGAAACCTGCTAAAGTAAACCAAACAATAAATATGGTTTTCAGGACGGCTACATTTTCAGTGAGGATAAAAACATCAGAAAAACTWAACATTTTCACACAATAAGAACTAAAACCATCCGAGGGTTGGACATAATCGTACCGTCTTCAGAAAAACATTAATCCATGATGTTTTGGAGCTAAAAGATTAATATGATTAATGTCAGCAGGCAGAGTGCGCTCGCTGCTTCAAACATGACAAACATTAAAATAAACTTCTGTCATTTATTTATCTATCAACACAATTTAAAATCTGATTTAAGCCTGAAGTTTGTTATTTTTACACAGTTTGGAACAGATTAGGGTCTCCCTCTAAACTGGTCATGTGACCAGGACGTGAGGGACTCCAGGGGATTAATCGTCTAATTAATCGTGATTAATGTTTTTTTTTTTTTGTCATTCCTGCCCAACTCTAACCGTCCTGCAGGTGTGTCTCACCTGAGCTGACGGGCGCCTGCAGGGCAGTGGTGAGGCTGTGGGTGCCGTTCTGTGTGATGGTCTTGATGGGCAGCTGGTGCTGACCCAGGGGGGCCTGCTGCACGATGGTGACGGTCTGCAGGGGGGCGGAGGACTGGGAGCTCTGGATGATGCGCCCGGGCGCGCCCACTGAGCCCATACTGGGAACCGTCTCAACTTTAACTGTGGAGAGACAAACGGTCAGGTTCCAGAACCAAAACAAGCAGACGGGTCTGGGTCCAGGTCCAGGTCCAGGTCTGGGTCTCACCTTTGACCTCGCCGTTCTCCTGCGGTTCGCTCTTGATGATGGTGGCTGGCTGGGCGAGGACGGCCGTGGCGGGACCGAGGGACCCGGCCGGGATCTGCTGCAGGACGTGGACCGTCTGGACCGCGGGCTGGGACGCTCCGGTGCCCACCGGAGACGCCATGGTGTAGGTCACAGGCTTGATGGTCTGAGGTAACGGACGCTGGACCGCTATGAGGACCGGCTGGTTGCTAACAGGAGAGCCTGGACCAGGACAGGATTGTGCAGGTCAAACCCTCTGAGCTTTCATTGTGTACAGAAAACAAACAAACAGACAAACAAACAAAGAGACAAACAAACAAAACAAAAACAAAAAGACAAACAAAAACAAACAAACAAACATACAGGTGTCGTACCTGGTGTGTTTTGTGCAAAGCGTGCTTCTTGGATCACTGCCAGCTTGGGCTGGACTGTGGTGGTGGGGGGTGCTGGGGCGGGAGCAGAGGCTGAGTCTGGTTCCACGGGGACCGGGGACCCCTCTCGTGACAGACTGTCGGGGGTCTGGACGCCGCTGGAGTGAGCGGAGAGGATCCCAGAGTGATTGGGAGAAGCAGGGGCGCTCCTGCAGGAGGAGGAGGTGCAGAAAGGAAACGTCACCTGACAACTCTATGATTTGACCAACTTTAATCAATTACTCATCAAATTACAGCTTATATAATTAAATATCATCTTATTGTAATAAATAACACAAACTAAAAGGGTTAATATGGAAGACTCGCCCCCTGCTGGTCACTCAACRGAATGCAGCTTTAAGGTTTTAAATGTATTTAATCTGAAGAGGTTTGATTCTGCAGTCCTACAGGATTCTGACCAATAAAATCAGAACATTTAAAGGTAATTATGAAACAAATATAAACCTAAAATGAGGAAATTGTAGGAAAAATAAACTCTGAGAAACAGCTGGATATGTTTAAACTTGTGAACAATCAGTGTCTAACTTTCATCAGATGGATCAGAGAATAAAAGAGCTGATGTGTGTACAGGCGGGACAGATCCAGACCTGGAGGAGAGGGGTCCATGCGGGGTCCTGAAGCAGGGGACCCCCCGGGGCCTTCGTTTCCTGAAGGCCTGCTCGATCAGCTTGCCTTCAGAAGACGGGTCTATCCTCCAGAAGGAACCTTTGCCCGGCTCCTCCTGCGACCTCGCCACTTTGATGAAGTAACGGTTCAGAGACAGGTTGTGACGGATTGAGTTCTGCAACAACAAAAACAGACAGAGAGGGGGGGTTCAAAGGTTTGCTCCTGCGCCCCCCCCCGCTGAGATCCAGGACGGTTTGAGACCAACCTGCCAGCCTTTATCTGCAGTCCTGTAGTAAGGGTAATTCTTTGTGATGTGATTGTAGATTCCATTTAGTGTTAGCTGCATGTCCGGAGCCAGCGTTATGGCCTGGACAATCAGCTGTGCATAGGAGTACGGAGGTTTGGAGTCGTCCTGCGGAGACCACAAAACCAACCAGTTAGTTATTTTACATTRTTTGTGCTGAAAAACACAAATATTGGATCTTTTCTCTTTGAAACTTGAAGTCAGGGGTGAGTGATTCTGGTCCTGGAGGACCGCAGCCCTACATGCTTTAATTCTTCCTGCTCCTCCAAGGTCTGCGGTATGGAGGACCGACACTGTCATTATTAGGAATAAAAGCAGAAATAGATAAATGAACCTTTAAATAAATAAATACATTTAAAATGCACCAAATAAAATGAGAACTTTACCTCATGTTTTATAATTTAATTG